CCCACCGCGATCCCTTATCGCCTCACACGGAACGCTATTTGCAAGAAAAGGTTGATATAAATAGAATTTCACTTGATTTGTCCTAAGGACCAAAATATGGCAGCTGGGCCATGGCATCCGGGCATCCCTCCCATTTGCAGAGAAGGTCAAGATGGCCTTGAACCTTGTGAGCTGAGCTTTTATCCCAGATCATAAAAATGTAATATGCTAATTAGACCAGGTGTCCTTCCGGATGAACCTGGGGCTGCAAGGGAAGTCAGAGTCCCAGTGCCAGAGGGAAGCCGGTGCCGGCAGCCAGGGGAAGGAAGGCCTACTCTTGCATAAATTTTCATGCATCGGGTCGGGCCTCTAGAATTTTTAGAGCCTGGTGCTATGGTAGAAAGACAAATCTGATGTAGCAACAGCTCCGATGGTGCTCAGCATCTCAGGGTGACTGCATCTGGCTGCCTCGCCGGTGTTTTGAGAGCTGATGTCAGCCCCTTGTTTATGTCCATTCCGTGGACCTACGATTGAAGTCTAGATCTGCAGACACAAAGAGGCAACTGCTTGGTATAGCCGGAAGGGGGAATCAACAGCTGCGGGGCCACCCACGCACCAGGGCAAGGGCATAGTGCTCAGCTGTCTCCCCATCCCGAGCCTGGCTGGTCCTGACCCCACACAAATTCGGGGCTCTTGCTTTGATGTGTATGAACCGACAGCATTAAAAATACAGAAAAGCCGGAAACTGGTTTGGCTCTGTAAATAGAGCGTCGGCCTGCAGAATGAAGGGTCCCAGGTTCGATTCCGGTCAAGGGCATGTACCTTGGTTGTAGGCACATCCCCAGTAGGGGGCGTGCAAGAGGCAGCTGGTCGATGTTTCTCTCTCATCGACGTTTCTAGCTCTCTCTCTCTCTTCCTCTCTATAAAAAAAAATCAATAATATATATATATATTTTTTTTCTTAAATGAACGTATCAAGGGAGTACCAAATAGTCACCTACTCACAAGCCTCATTAAACTAGGACCTTTATTAATGCACAACTGGGATTCCATTATAATAGCTTATCGAAGGTTATCTTTTAACAAATATATTTTGAAAGTCATGGCAGGTAACCAATGTATGTGAAGTTATCCCCGTTAATCAATCCCAGTGGCCACACTATTTAAACTGCATGGTGAGAACTGACGGCAGGAATTTGACTTTAAAAAGGAGATGACGTTTTCTCAACTTTTTGGTTTTAAGAGGAGTAAACTATGAGAAGTTATTTACTAGTTCTATTCAGAATTTTTGCAAAGGTTCAGTATGATGCAGAAAGAGTAATAAAAAAATAAAGCGCTATTTTTAATTCTGGGAGAAAACAGTGTTTAGGTGCTGTACTAGTATATGCATATTTTTTTTCCCTCCAAAATTTAGGTGTTATGCTAGTAAATACATATTTTTTTTCCTCCCTATTTTACCCTACATAGTATCATTGCTTAAATAATTCTAGCATTTCCTGAAATGGGTACTCAGTGATTGCTAGATGAATGCTTTCATTTAGTTTTATTAAGAAATTTAAGTCGAGAAACGATGGTAACTTACTCCAAAGTTACTCCATGTCTAAGTTAAAAATGTACAATTTCTGCCGGGCTGGCGTGGTTCAGTTGGTGGGGTTCCATTTCCGGTCAGCAGGAGGCCTTGGAAGGCATCTGATTCATGTTTCTCTCTCCTTTCCTCTCTCTAAACCTGTCCGTGGGTGAGGATTAAAACAATTTTCTTAATGTAGAGTTTGCTGTTTTAAACAGTTTGTCTCCTCCTCAAATTTATATGTGGAAGCTCTAATCCCTAATATGATGGTATTTGGGATGGGGCCTGTATGACTGGGATTAGTGTCCTTATTAAAGAGACACTGAACCCTAGCCGGTTTGGGTTTGGCTCAGTGGATAGAGCGTTGGTCTTTGGACTGAAGGGTCGCAGGTTCGATTCCGACCAAAGGCATATGCCTGGGTTGCAGGCTCGATCCCTAGTAGGCCAATGATTATTCTCTCTCATCATTGATGTTTCTGTCTCTCTCTCCCTCTCCCTTCCTAAAATCAATAAAAATACTTTAAAAAAAAAATAGACACCGAGAAATGAGGTGCCCTCCACCCCCATTTCACTAGGGACACACATAGGTATTAATAAAAACCTCTAACAACAAGAACAAAAAAAACAAATACATATAGGGAGAAAAGAAAGTTGTCCAAAGGATGCAAAAGTGTCAACCCAATGTATTGGGTCTCCTCCTGCCTCTTCTGCAGAAATATGTATCTCTTTGACGATTCCTTTCTGGCATCTTCTTAGGCCTCTGGATTCCCTTGGTTCCTTAGCAACAGTGTATTTCAGTTCGTCTCCCTTGGCCTTCACACGGGGACTTTAGAGCTTCTCGTATTATTACATGTTGCGCTAGGACATGTACACTCTCTAGTCACATGGCTGTATAATTACTCCTCCTGTCCGCCAGGCCAGTGCAGGTTGAGGGCCACTGTGTTATTAAATATATTCACATGTGCAAAACCGTGATTAAAAAGCCCTGGGAGGTTTTCCAGATCCAAACACTCCCTTTTCACCCACTTGTTGTAAATAAAAGACACTAAATGCTTTGAAGAACTTGGGACTTGCCCTCCAGTAACCTCTCGGGCTTCCCACTGAGTCACTACAGGTGAGCCTCTGAGCTGTCCGTGCCAATGGTTGCCAAGGTGTCCTTTTCAAGTAGAATAATACTTGGTCTGAGGGATTCGAGGTAAACCCAGGGCCTCAGCTCCAAGTTCAAGTGCTAAACCATCAAGATGACTGTTCTAATCCTTGGACAACAGGTGTTACCTTAGACTTGGAGATTTCCATGCTGAAGAACAATAACCACTACTACTAAACAATGCTACCCAGGACACTCATCCCTCCACCCCACCCAAACCTTCAGATAAGGAAGGAAGATAGTTTCTACTTACTAGTTGCCTGGTAACTATTTTGCATTGTTCCTTGTAAACAAATGAAAATAACTTTTTATGACTACGTTACTCTAAATAGTCACCAAAGATAATATCAAGTATTGTTAAATTTAGATAAATTGGGGGTGGAGATGGAAATGCAGTTTTTTTATTTCCCCCCTCAGAGAACTCAAGGACAAGGTAGGAAGAGGAACTAGATGCAGAATTACTTATCTAATCGATGTCAGAAAAATTTAAGATTCTTCGGGTAGAGGTTTGTAAACCATCCACCTAAAGGAACAGTTTCTAACATAACAGGCTCATCCTTAGATTCATATTCCTATATGGTGGCATTCTGCTTAAATATTTACTCTTAGCCTCTAACATGATGTATTTCTTTTATAGTGACAACTCAATTTTATTTTGGAATAAATTCTGAAAGGAAATCTGCAGATATTCTTTTCCTTACCTTCGGTTTGAAAATCTTGTTCAACTTTTTCTAAATTAAACTAAGCACTATACGAGTATATTCAAAAACAACATTTTAATAATGAGAAGTTATCTACCAGTTTTATTCAGAATTTTTGCAAAGGTTCAGTATGATGCAGAAAGAGTAAAAAAAAAATAAAGTGTAATTTTTAATTCTGGGGAGAAAACAGTATTTAGGTGTTATTCTAGTGTATTTGTGTGTGTGTGTATATATATATATATATATATATATATATATATATATATTCCCCCCCCAAAATTCACCTATGCGTTAAGTTATATGGAACTGAATATTCACCTGTGTTAAGTTACAAGGGGATATTTAGTCCTCCTCTATTACACCTGGAGGCTATTTGCTCACATTTATTTATATTACACTGACAAATGGCAGTCCTATCATTTAATAAGGCACTCAAGTTCAAAGGCTGGAACACATACAAAAATGCATCTGAGCTCTGCTGGTTTAATCACCTGATATCGTAGGTGTGCACCTTCCTTTAGGATAACAAACGCCAGGCCGTGGACTAATTTAACTCCAGTTATGCAATGCCTGCCTCGCTCACCGGGTTGAAGAATATAAACATCCCTTCTCTAGCAGAGTCTGGGGGAGGGTTTTCCTTCGGTGTTTGACAGAGCAAGTATATACATGGGTACCCGAAGGGACCTATCTGTATTAGGGAAGATGGACAAAGGGACAGGGCCTTTTTTAAAAAAAAGGGAACAGGTCACATTTACTGAACAATTCCCCTACAAATGTAGATCTTAGGCCCAGTTTCACAGAAATTTTTGAATGATGATAGTCTTACTTGGCATATCCTTTTATTTAACAGGCACTCTTGTTAGCTAACTATGACCTCACTGGTCATGAGAGAGAATTCGAGGTCACACACTCACTCTCTCTCTCTCTCTCTTTCACACACACACACACACACACACACACACACACACACACACGGAAAGTGTCACATGTGCTTTCTAAGAAATGACACGAGAGCCAAGACAACCAACACTTAAAATAAATCTTAAGGCATTATTTATATACAGTACTCAGCACATAAAATAGAAAAGTATAGATTTGACATGTTTGTTCTATATTTGTCATAATATCTAAAAAAAAATAAAATAAAATAAAAGCATCACCCCAAACCAGAAATGTAAAATTTTACTACCTATGTTTTCTCAATAGCTCACCAAAACAAACACCAACCTTTGCCCCCAAATGACAAATGCACACAGATCTGTGGGCGGGAAACATTAAGATGGGTTCATTTCATGGTGAACATCACTGCATTTCTGGAAATGCTGATAAATACAATACCTGCGACAAAACAGCAAAAATCCTTGGCCAACATGTAAACCAGTGATGGGGCAAACATTTCCTTTCACGGATGTTTTGAGGGACATTTCCTTTTACAAATGCTTAAGATTATACACAGTTGGAACGCGCGACTTGAATGACGTTTAGGTGAGAAGCCCGAGTCTTCTGCTTCCTTAGACGTGGCGTCCCGATGTCCCCCCGGCTTCCGGAGCCAGAGGTGTTTTCTCTGGGAAGAACAGGGCGATGTGCCGTGCCTCCTGCACACCTACTATGTGTCGGAGTCGCTTCCCCCGCCCGGACTGCTGCCACCCGGCCCGTCGCTCTCTTTGTCCCAGTCCTTCATGGACGCGCCCATCATGAAGTCATCGCGCAGGATGCTCCATCCGGGACCCTCTTCTCTCGCTTCAGTCTGCAGACAATCACAGGAACAACACATTCAAAAGCCGACTTAGTTGCAGGGGGACTGAGAGAGTCCGTGTCACAAAGCACATTGCTCAGCAACAGGAGTGAAATCAAGACAAAGTAGAGATTGGCCTTATGCATACATTGTAAACATGTATGCACAAATAGCTAACAGAGCTACCTGTTAATAAAATATTTTAACCCCATAAAAGAATCAATAGAAGCAAACTTTTTTTTTTTTTTTTTTTGCAACAGGGAGAAAATACAGTAAGTTCTAGGTTTGGTATAAAAATTTTTTTAATCTATCTTTCACTCTGATCCCCCCCACCCAAGCCTTCACCACATTACTGTCTGTGTCCCTGGACTATGCAAATATGCATTTAAGTTCCCCTGTTAATCTCTCCCCACTCACCTCTCAACCCCCACCTTCCCTCTCAGATGCCTCAGTCTGTTCCAGGCTTTTTATGTTTCTGGATCTAGTTTGTTCATTAGATTCCACATATAAGTGAGATCATGTGATACTTGTCTTTCTCTGACTGGCTTACTTCACTTAGCGTGATACTCTCCAGGTCCCTCTATGCTGTCTGAGGGTAAGAGATCCTTCTTTTTTATTGCCAGATAGTATTCCTTGGTATAAATGTACCATGGCTTTTTATCCACTCTTCTACTGACCGGCACTTGGGCTGTTTCCAGATCTTAGCTATTGTAATTGTGCTGCTAGGAACGTAGGGGTGCATACCTCCTTTCTGAGTGGTGTTTCAGGTTTCTTAGAATATATTCCTAGAAGTGGGATCACTGGGTCAATATTTAATTTTTTGAGGAAACGCCATACTGTTCTCCACAGTGGCTGCACCAGACTGCATTCCTACCAGCAGTGCACGAGGGTTCCACATCCTCGCCAGCACTTGTCCTTTGTTGACGGGAGCCATTCTTACAGGTGTAGGTGATGATCAGTGACTTTGAACATTTTTTCGTATGTCTCTGGGCCATCTATATGTCCCCTTTGCAGAACTATCTAGTTAGGTGCATAAAAGCTATCTCAAAACTGTCATTATTCGCAAATAACACGATATAGAACAAAGGAAACCCTAAAGACTCTACCAAATAGCTACTAGGATCAACATCAAAATGTCTATACTACCCAAAGCAATCTATAGACTCAGTGCAATCCCCATTAAAATACCAATGGCATATTTCACATATCTGGAACAAACGCTCCAAAAATTTATATGGAACAAAATAAATAAATAAACAAATAAATAAAAATCCTTAAATAGCTGCAACAATCTTGAAAAAGAACAACAAAATTGGAGCGATCACAATCCCAGATATAATATCAATTTTTAAAATCTTTTGACAAAATAATCTTATTATTTCAAGTTCACTGATAATTTATTATAAGACTTCAGGCAAATTATCTAGACTAATAGAAGTGTAACAAAGACTTTTAAGCCAAAGTAAAAAGGAGAGAAAAGGAAACTAACTGAGCTAGGTTTTCACAGATTCTATCTCATTTAATAGTTGGTAAAAATGAGAAACAAATGGTCTTTATTTCGGTTATGATCTCATTGTCTGACCTAATCATGTGATAAAAAAAAGCCTAGTCACGTGCTAAAATGGCAAATAAGTGAGCAGGCGGTAAGCAGAGGTAGTCCATTTGATTTGTTTCTTCCTAGGATTTATGTAAAAACTAGGCATAGCTGAGCCGAGGACGGCCTCTCCTTTCGTGGTACAACAGCGCCACCGTGTGGTAGTAACTGAGACAGTCTCTGCAGAACTCCAGGCTCGGGGATTTCTTTCCCTAACTCCACAAACACTGAGAGAGTCTAGGCTGTGTTCAAAACAGAGCCCCCGTCTTCCTGGAGCTAAGAGTCGAGGCTTTCCTAGTTATTCCATCCACAGAAACACACAGGGCTGGACAAACCATTTCTATGCCTATCCACGGCAGAGTGTAATTTATAAATTTGCCATAGAAAGAGATCAAAGGTAACAACTAATAATGAAACAGAACGATCGTAACCGTGCACTGGAACGGAAGCTACGTGAATGTGCTCTCTCTCAGCGTGTCATTGTCCTGTACGCACCCTCTTCTTGACGGGATAGGACACAAGGCCCACGTGATGAGATAAAGGGACGTGGATTTTCCCAGTTAATATCTTGGGGCTCCTGTTACCCTGGGTAATTAAATTATAATACTAAAACCATGGGAAGTGAAGCCATGAATAAGGGGGTGGGCACTACAGCAGTTGAGAGAGAGAGAGAGAGAGACAGACAGACATCAGCGGGCCAAAGGGAAGAGTTCCTTAATGGAAATGTCAAGATCAATGGTCTGACGTTCCTTGTCTAGAAAGACAATGATAGTGAACCCCTGTATGGTAGGCAGGAAGGGCCACAGCAGGGTAAAGTCAAGCCCCCGGGCTTGGCCAGCCGGAAGGAAGAGTGACAGTGAAGCCAGGTTCCTGAGGTGTTCTGCTCTGCCAGCAGTCAGGAGCGGCCTTATCACTTGCTCCCCCAGTGCGGTCCCCAGGCCAGACCAGGGCACCCTCATCACTTAGTAGGAATCCGTTCTCCCGGGCTCCCTTCCTGCTGAGCCGGAAACCCGGGCAGAGCGCGGCCATGGCCTTGTAAACCCTCCGGAGTCCCCGATGGAGCGGAAGCTGGGCCCCAGTAAGACACAGCCAACCGTGCTATAGGGGGCAGCCTGCAGGGCCACGCCCCGTGCCCACGGACACCATTACCGTTATTCTAACGGTCACTAAGAGTCTCTACGGAGCTCTGGGATGGTTCTACGTCCTCCCTCTACCCACACCCTGAGCCAAATGCTGCAGGTCCCACCCTGCCCCACAGGTTCACACCACTCACACCAGACACCGCCCAGAAGCAGCTACGGTAACCAGCATGCCTTGAAGGCCAACACAATGGGAAACTGGCTTTCTCGCGTTCCCATAGACAGAATGCAATGCTCGCTCTCACTGCGATCTCGGAGTCTCCCTTTTGTCTAAACTCTAATCTATTTAGGCATGAGCGGTAAATAAACATGAAGCTGAATTATTTACAAAGTTGGGATTCCTCGCATTCCTACGAGAGCAGCTTTATGTGAAGGCAGCAGCAGTTGGCATGCGAGGCAGGGGCAACCTGAGGGCAGCATCCCTCTGCCCGCTGCCTCTCTGCCCCACTCCATGCCTTTCACCCCCCCCCCCACCCTGTGAAGAGGAAGACCCACAACTAATGGGACCACCTTGGGGTCACCCTGAGGCACCCCTCCACTCCTAGCGTCCTGCTTGGGAGCAGGCACTCAGCCAGGCCATGGAGCAGAGGAGTGAACACTTTAAAAGCAGATGGCAACTGGAGCCGAGCTCTCGTTACTGAGACACCAAGGAGCCCACAGGTCACAGCATCCCCACCACTGAAAGCAGCTCTGAAGGGGCACCTGGCTGCCATGTATGAGAAATGTATGCGGACAGAGTCCCTGAACTTGCTTCTGCTGGACAGTTTTCACAAAAGCGGGAAAATAAATAAATACCCGGTCTCTCCCAGTACCTGTTTTAACCGAGGGATTTTTACTGAAATCAATCAATCAATCAATCAATCAATCAATCAATTACTGAAGAAACCCTTCCCAACAGAAACTACTAGCACTTTCCTGTCCTGTGAAGCTCCCAGCTTGGTTTCCTGACAACAAAACAGGAGCTGACAGCGACGTGCTGGCCAGTTCAAATCAATGAAAGCCTTGCACAGTGCCTGTAATCCGAGACGTAACACTGAGTCATTGCTTTCCTATCAGCAGCCAATAAATACGGGCTCCTTCGAGGAATCTATGGGCTGACAGCTGGGGCCCCACAGTCCCTACAATCTGCTTCGAGAAGGCTGGCAGCGAGTTCCCCGCCCTGTGTAGGCAGCAGATGGTAGGGTTCTTCTCTGGAAAACGTCCAGTGTAAAAGCTGGGAGCCCGAGGCCCTGAACTTTGTATAAAAGCCTCACCTGCTTGGCCTGCGAGCTCTTTCTGGTCGAAGCTTTCTCGCTGGCACTTCCATCCATGCCCCGCAGAACGCTGATGAAATCTTTCTTGGAAATGGTTGACATCAACTTCGCACGCTTCCTGATGGAGCTTCCAGCTTCCTTCACCTTCTCGTCCACGTTCTTCTGATGCTTCTGGACGGCGTTAAACAACTGCACCACACCCCTGGGGACCACGCCAGCAAAACGAGGTAGTTAACGGCGATTATTCTAGACCAGCTGCTGCCAACCTCTCAGATCTCAGTGGTCCAGGATCACCGGTTGGCGACTGCTGACCTAGATTACAAACTCCAAGGATAGAAACTGTGCTTTCTCTGCTTAGGAGAAAGGCAAGCTTTGAGTAGGCAAGCAAATGAAAACAGCTGACTGGTTAGATACCTCTGCAAAGTGATCGTGCATTTCAATGAATGAATGGAAGTCTATGAACTCATTTACAGGATGAATATACATGGGTGCATATGTGATCTGTTTTGTTTCGGCTCTGGTCTTTATCAACGTTTATGCGACCAGAACTAAGAATTACTTTTAACACCTGCGCCTATTTCTCGGAGCAGGATTCTATACAGTTGGGGCTCTGCAGCGAGCAGGAGTAGACGTCCTAGGTCTTGCTACACGATTTGCAATTCTCAGGATATAAAACTAATTTTAAAATCCAATTTAAAAAAAAAACAATATGAAAAAGCATTTTAGAATCTCCTTAATAGTTGTTTTGTATTGATAACAAGTTGCATTAGTAATCATTAGAAGGTACTGGGTAAAATCAACATGTTGTTGAACTTAATTTCACCTCTTTTACTCATTCGGACAAATCGACATTACGTGTGTGGCTCCCATTCCGTTTGCACCGGGCAGCACTGATTTAGACCATTAACATCCCTCCCGGCTCTAAGATCCTATCACCTACTCGTTTCCTGCTCAGAGGATCCCAGGGAGAGGCGATCCGCCCCGGGCCTGACCGTCCTGCAAGCTCGTGTTGGGTTTTTCAGGAATCCGGGCCCTAATTGCTCCTCACCCAGAACATTTCTCAGGGTTGTGTTTGCAGCACGCAACCTTGAGAAATGAGGTAACGTCTCCCAGAGACAAAGAGCAGGCTTGTTCCCGTTCACCGTAAAAGCAATGGCTTTCCCCCCGTACCATGCGTTCCCCTCCTGTAACATGAACCACCGAGGGCACCTGTGCCAGCCCTGGGGCCAGGAGCAGCCAATGGGAAAGCTACCACCTTTGCTGTGTCTCTGACCCAGAAGTCTGTCTCCTGTCAGCATCCAAGAAACTCTAACAGGCGAGTCTAGTCTATAAAGAGGGTAAAATCCCATCCTTTCACAGCAGGGCAGGGATCAAGGTGAAGAACGTGAGGTGCCCAGGACACAAAACTAAAGAAGCTGCCAAAACCGGTTTGGTTCAGTGGGTAGAGCGTCGGCCTGGGGACTGAAAGGTCCTGGGCTCCATTCCGGTCAAGGGCACATACCTTGGTTGCATATCCTCAGTAGGGGGTATGTAAGAGGCAGCTGATCGATGATTCTCGCTCATCAATATTTCTAACTCTATCCCTCTCTCTTCCTCTCGGTAAAAAAAATCAATAAATGAAAAACAAAAACAAACCAACAAAAAAAAACTAAAGAGGCACTTACTCCCTGCATCAAACCTGCACTTTGTTAAGCTCTTCAGATGTATTCATTCATTCAATTCTCAGAGAAAATGGGGAGGTATAACATTCTCCTGGTTTTACAGATACATAAGTGGAGGCACAGAGACATTCAGTAACAGGCCCAAGGACACACAGCTAGTCAGTCAGGCGGGAATCTGAATCTAGCAGACTGCTCTCCTGTTTACACACTTAGGCATCACACACACCAATTCGCTGTGCAACCAGAGACGTTAGAAAATGACCAAATAGCGCAGGTGCCTAGGAAGTTAGTCCACCACATGTAACTGCTGTGTTCTTTAGGGAGGAACAAGGAGCTATCTCCTCTGTGAACTTCATCGACTCCCCTGTACACTCTCCTGTGATCTATCCCCATCACCAGATGCACCTCCATTCTCAGGCGACTAGAATTCCTCTGATGGGCTGGGCAAAGACCCCCAGCGGCCACCAGATTCTATTTATCTGAACACACAGGGCATCAAATAAATGTTTGGTGCCGATGATTAAAAAAAAAAGCAAAATAGCCGAAACCGGTTTGGCTCAGTGGATGGAGCGTCGGCCTGTGGACAGAAGGGTCCTGGGCTCTTCCAGTAAAGGGCATGTACCTTGGTTGCGGGTGCAATCCCAGTAGGGAGTGTGCAAGAGGCAGCTGGTCGATGTTTCTCTCTCATCGATGTTTCTAACTCTCTCTCCCTCTCCCTTCCTCTCTGTTAATAAATATATAATATATAAAAGAATAAAAGGGAAGCATGAAGCTGCTATAACTGAAACTCACCATGCCATAAATGTAATGCAAGATAACAAAAATCGAGAGTGCCATAAATTTAGACACTTTAGCTAAGTGAGGGTTCTGATGACAGTTCTCGCGACTATAAAAACAAGACGATATGCAGTAGTGTTGTGCCAAACATACACTTGGCACCTTGTACTCCTTCCCGAGAGACCCTCGGCCTCTGGCTGAACTCAGGGCGCGCAGGCTGGCTGCCCCACGGCCCCTGGAGTGGGAAGGGCGGGGTACAGAGGACCCGGGGGGTCCCCCTCTGCCTCACCTCGTGGCGATCCTCTGCAGGTTCCTCTCGGTGTCTTTGTCTGTGACCACATCTGGCTTGACCCTGCACATCATCTCCCACTCCCGCTTCTTATCGAGCTGTGGGACGGACAAGGTTACGAGAGAACATGAGGCACTTTGGAAAGGGTGGCACTTTACTTAAAAACACCGGCACTTTAAGGGTTCCGCACGGGGAGCCTGTGGTTAGCACTCGGGCGTGGCGTGTGAGAGGCACCGGCTGGCCAGAGGGGCCTGGAGGGCCACCAGCTCACGGAGCCTGGGACCAGGCAGGTGTGGAAAGCACAGTCCTGATCCGCCATCACAGATCAGACCCCCGGCCCTTCTCCTGTAGCCACAGGTTAAACACTGTGGCTTTTCAGTAGACAGAAAAGATGAAGGCTTTTTATCAGCTTTTAAATGGACAGCATCATCTCCAGATGTAGCCTATTCACACAGCGGCTGTTTGCATTTTCACGAAGCATTGAAATTCACCTCTTTCAGGGCACATCTGACCACCGTCCTTGCCACATATGGCAACCTGGTCGCAAATCACAGCACACGGATTCTTTCCCATCACGCAGAGGCAGAAGAGGGTCCGGAAATAAGAAAACCCCCCTCAGATAAAATAATCTAATCCAAAACCACCTCTCCAGACTCCCTTTACTGAGCAGATTGCATTCGTGGTGATCTGGCAGCGCGAAATAGTCTTGTTTTCAGAATTGCAACCAATCCCTAACAGGGACATCACGGATCTTTATTATAAAATAGGTTTTGGCAAAAAGCGATTAATAGGATGATTATAGGATGATTGGTCCCGCACCTAATGGACAGCTAAATGGAATAAAAAGACAGGGGTCAGAGCCACATGGGTGATTACTTGACTGTAGAAAGATAAACTTCCCTGGAGTTTATATCTCTATTGCTTTCCAGGTGATTGAAAAGTAAACATACTCCACAGAGTAGCTTAGGTGAGGATTATAAACAGAACCTTGGTAATCCACCCCCACACAGAAGGCGACACAGATAAGGCCCAAGCACCAGGTAGACACACAATCTAATCTACAGAGCAGCCGGACAGACATACCTGCTTTCTCTTCTCCAGTCTCTCCTGCTTTAACTTCTCCTTTTCCTTTTCCAGCTCCTTGTTTTTGACCAGGATGGTGGGTTTGCTCTTAGGGGTTTTCTTGTTCAGGATTTTAGCCATGGCATCGGCCCAGCCCGAGCTGGTCCCCGCCGCATTTTCACTGTCATTGTCACAGGGTTCAAGCTCATCTTCGTTGTCAGCCTCCGCTGCTTCGTCATCGGAAGAGAAGTGAGCCTTCCGTGACGCACACTTTCCCGTAGAACCTAAGAGAAGAAACGGAGTAGACTCTGATGCTGGAGGCAGAGGTGGCCCTGTGACGTTCTCCATCCGTCCCCATTCTCTGGGACAGTGACAGGACCACAGCTGCAGGGACAGTGGGGAGCAGTGGCAGTGGGACCCTCCCCGCTGGCCGCCAGCCTCTGATGATCTTGCTGAGCTCTGCTGACAGGGAGGCTGTAGGATCACAGGACCCAGGACCCAGGACCCAGGCAGAAACAAACAAACAAACAAACAACCCCCTCCCCCCCAAAAAAAATCCAATCCCAGAAATAGAATTGATGGGTCCTAAGGCAGCTCCATTTTTAATTTTTTGAGGTAAATCCATACTGCTTTCCACAGTAGCCATACCTATTTGCATGTGGAATCTAATGAACAAAATAAACTATCAAACAAAACAGAAACACTCATAGATAGAAAACAGACTGACAGCTGTCAGAGGGGAGAAGGGTTGTGGGCCTGAATGAAAAAGATGAAGGGATTAAGACCTAAAAACTAGGCAGACACAGAAAAAACAAAAACATAAAACTCACGGACACAGACCACAGCAGGGGGAGTCCATGGTGACGGGAGACCTGGGGTAGGGAACACACAATACAACACCCAAAATGATGTATTATAGAATTTTTGTACATCTGAAATCTGTATAATTTTATTAACCAATGTCACCCCAATAAACTCAATTAAAATTTGTTTAAAAGAGAGATGATGGAAAGACTTGACCTTTTAGCTGGTCATGTTAATACTCCTAATGCTGGTATTACTTTTGCACAATAACTTTATTTTTGAAGTGCTGAGAATTCATGAAACGAAAAGGATTCGTAAAAACTAAATATTTAATATAGTTCAAAAAATCTGTAACGCATTAGAAAACAGCTAATAAAAACATAGTAAGCATTTATCTGAATGTAAGGAACAGGATGGCTTAAATGTTTATCAGTGAAGAATACTGGATGATGATCAGCTCCTCCTGATAAAACATCAAAACTACAACACTGACATCTAGTGTTTTGTCCTGATGAGCTCACACAAATCTCATAGCAAGTCTCATGTTTTTTCAGCTGCAATGTCAAGGCAGCTAAAGGCTCTCTCTCCTTCTAAATTGACTATTTTCTTTGGTGTGTTTCTTCCCCAGCTGGACTATCATAACACTCACATATGGGAACACGATAAACCTGCGAAAAGTTTTCTAACACCATTTTATAAACCAGCACTCACCCCAATTAAAAAAAAAAAATCCAGAAGAAGTCGCTGGTGTCATAGTTTTTTATTTTAATTTTTTTATTTTATTTTTTTAAAAATATATTTTATTTGATTTTGTACAGAGAGGAAGGGAGAGAGAGAGAGAGAGTTAGAAACATCGATGAGAGAGAGTCATCGACCAGCTGCCTCTTGCACACCCCCTACCGGGGATATGCCCGCAACCAAGGTACATGCCCTTGACCGGAATCGAACCCGGGTCCTCCAGTCCCCAAGCCGACGCTCTATCCATTGAGCCAAACCGGTTTCGGCTATTTTTATTATTTTTTAAAAAGCAGCTGTAGGCTCAGAAGATTTAAGCCAAGCACTCAAGGCCAAGGGGCATGATGATTTTTATAGAAGTAAATGAAAAATGCCAACGCAATGAGGTCTTCCAGCCACTAAAACACAGGGCCTACTCCTAGGACATCAAAGATAATCACTATGCAATAGATCAGAAAGCACAACTGGTTTTTAAAAGTATACTGCACCACATACAGATGTGACTTTTTAAAATTTTCAGCTAAGTGATCTTTATTTTATTTTTCAAAAATTCTTTGTTTCAAGTATTACATATATCTCCTCCCCCCCACACACACACACTGACCTCTCCCCAATCACTTCCACCCCCTCAAATAAGTGATCTTTATTTTTTACAAAATATATTTTATTGATTTTGCATAGAGAGGAAGGGAGAGAGATAAGAGAGTTAGAAACCGATGAGAGAGAGTCATCGACCAGCTGCCTCTTGCACAACCCCTAGTGGGGATGTGCCCGCAACCAAGGTACATGCCCTTGACCGGAATCGAACCCGGGACCTTTCAGTCCCCAAGCCGACGCTCTATCCATTGAGCCAAACCGGTTCCGGCAAATAAGTGATCTTTAATAGCAGAAGGTAAGTGGCTATATCCACGGGTCTCAGTGAACTTTTTTTATAGCCAAAAGAGTTCCTCTGAAGTCCTGTGTGTTATTTTATTTTTATTTTATTTTTCTTAAATCAATCTTTATTGTTCATATTATTACAAAGGTTCCTCATTTCTTCCCCCCTCCACCAGGTTCCCACCCCACCCTCCGCCCCCTCCGCATCCCCCATTGTCCTCATCCATAGGTGCACAGTTTATGTTCAGTCTCTTCTTCCCTCCCTTTCCCCGATAGTAAATCCCTTTTCAGAACTGTGTGTTATTTTAAACATTAACTCTAACCTTGAAATCTATTTTAAAACTGGAAATAAGGAAGGAGCAGAGAACGCTATGAGAATCACAGGGAGAGGCGATCCGCCATGGGCCTGACCGTCCTGCACACTTTTGTTGGGTTTTTCGAGAACTTGGGGCCCTCGGGAGCAATAACCAAGGGTTCCAAGTATTTCTGCATTCACGGGAAGGTTCTGTTATCAGAGCTGCCCAGCAGCCACCCAACTCAAAAGCCTCCTGCGGACTTCAAATTTTACATTTTATTTCATTTTAATTAGGTGGCTAGCATGTAGGGCAGGGCAATAGACACTGGCGTTTCTCATCTCCTCTGCCTTTCCCCCAAACTTCCAGCTCCCTTCCAAATGGAGTTTTACATTTTATTTCATTTTAATTAGGTGGCTAGCATGTAGGGCAGGGCAATAGACACTGGCGTTTCTCATCTCCTCTGCCTTTCCCCCAAACTTCCAGCTCCCTTCCAAATGGAGTTTTACATTTTATTTCATTTTAATTAGGTGGCTAGCATGTAGGGCAGGGCAATAGACACTGGCGTTTCTCATCTCCTCTGCCTTTCCCCCAAACTTCCAGCTCCCTTCCAAACTTGCCATCTGTCCCCGATCCCCGGGTATGGCCACAGGCCAGGGGGGTAATTGAGCCACTGACTTCGCCTCTGGAACGGGGACCAAGTTTTAAGCAGCCTCCCAGCCCCTCGATATTAGTGGAGGATGAGGAAGGAAGGGGAAACAGAAAAGCTCTACACCTAAGTTTCTCTCCCTAAAGGAACCACACACGCCTTGGAGGGGAAATACGATGGGTTAACCAAAGGCAAAAATGTGTGACATGTTCTTTTAAAAGACAGACAACGAAAAAAAAAAAGAGTGACTGCCCTGACCGGTGTGGCTCAGTGGATAGAGCGTCGGTCTGCAGACTGAAAGGTCCTGGGTTCGATTCCAGTCAAGGGCACGGACCTTGGTTGCGGGCACATCCCCAGAAGGGAGTGTGCAGGAGGCAGCTGATCGATGTTTCTAACCTCCTATCGCTCTCCTTTCCTCTCTGTAAAAAAAAAAAAAAAAAAAAAAAAAAAAAAAATCAATAAAATATATTTTATTGGGGGTATCTTCTACAAAGCTGACACGCAATTTTTTTTTCTTTTAAAGGGCAGAGCAAGGATTTGAACGACAAGAGAAGGGAGGGGGCCAAAGAAGTCAGATTCCGCAAACCGGGCCAATGCACAGAGGCAGGGTCACTGCGTGCAGAACCAAACCCATCCCGATCGGAGCCAATGTCTGCACGAACGCGGGAACTGCTGCTGTAAAAGCCATCGCTGTCATCCCGGGCAGGAGAAACCAGCAGTTTACAGGATGCCACGCGGCTCGGGGCAGCGGCACCGCACCCCCGGCTCCCCGCAAACTCGGCCCGGCCTTCCCTCCGATCGGCCATGCGGCACGTTACCTCCCATGTCCGCAGCGTCTCGGTCCTCCTCTTCCGGCTCCGAGGCCGCCGCCTTGGCTAGCATTTTCATCTTCTTCTTCCTCTTGAGGGCATTTTTCAGCTTCTTCCCCGCGCTCCCACGTGAGTCCCGGACGGCAGCCGCCATGTTGGTTTTCCTCACCGGAAGTGTCGCACCGGAGCTGCACCGGGTGGGGAACGCGAGGAACGTGGGCCTCGAGTTCCGGCGACAAAGGTTCCGGGGCGGGGCCAACCAGCCAGGAGGTCGGGGCAGCTGCCTCAGGCTTGGGTGGCAGAGAAAGGTCTGGCTTCCAATTGCAAAAACGGACAATAGAATCTCGCTTTCTCCCCTCGTCCCGCGTGATAAGGGAATTCAGTTTCACTTTTCTGCTCCGCGTCCGACTGCTCAGTGCAGACCCTCCGCGGGGTGCTTCTCCTTTCTCCCTCCGGGCCAGCTTCTCCCTAAGGTGAGCTAGTCACCTGCTGTTGGCAGCCTCAAGCTCCCTGCAAGCAGCTGCCACCACCAAGCCCTAATTCCCCCCCTAAAATTGTTGGTTCTTTGAGAGCAGGGGCCATATCTCAGCACCAGTTTATTCCCCACGGCCAGCAATGGGGCCTGGCCCGGATTAGGGGCCCCCAAACTATTTTTGGAAGGAAGAAAGGTTAGAATGAATGAGTGAAGGACAGAATACATTTATTGGTAAGGTTAATGAGTCAGGGGGATAGGATAACAAACCCTTGCGTCGTGTTTTAAATAAACCAGGCTTGTTCTAAAGACTAAGCTTTCAGTTTTACTGGTAAAGAGTTTCTTTTTTCTTTTTTAATATATTTTTCATTGATTTTTTTTTTTTTTTACAGAGAGGAAGAGAGAGGGATAGAGAGTTAGAAACATCAAAGTTTCTTTTTTTAATATATTTTATTGATTTTTTTACCGAAAGTGAGAGGGATAGATAGTTGGAAACATTGATGAGAAACATCCATCAGCTGCCTCCTGCACGCCCCCTACTGGGAATGTTCCCCCAAAGCAAGGTACATGCCCTTGACCAGAATCAAACCTGGGACCTTCCATTCCACAGGCCAATGCTCTATCCACTGAGCCACACTGGTTTCAGCAAGAGAGTTTCTTGGTTTTAATATCCACACTTTTCTAAAAGAGTGGAACTTCTCAAGTGGACACCTTCCAGTTGATTATATGAGAAATGCACACACGTACATCCCCCACGCTCCATGCATTTGCAAACAAAATCGTGTGCAGGAAAAAAGTTTTATTCCAGATGCAATTGGCACCCGATCCAACCTTCTGAAAAGTGGAACTGTTGGCAGCAAAAGGGTGCAGCTCAGGAGTGGGCCGAGGAGGACATGGCCGGTGCCCAGGAGCCATGCTGCTTTGTGTAAACCTTTCCTGCCGTGGCATGTTGGCCTTGAACCTGTATCCTGCCGATTTTCCCCTGTAGCCCGTGTTTTTGCCTGGTGTTACCGAGTTCACACCCATGTTGGCAAAGCATTGGAGAACACTGTAGAGAAGCAGCAAAGCGAGAGAGAAGAGTGACTACTGAGAAGAGGAAAGGGTCATGCATAGGAAACACCATTTGAGAATATTATTTGGTCACCACCAGTCATGTTTTGAGCATTTGCCAACGTGGTATGGTGGTTTCTGTCGAGGGACTTACTCTGTTTAGTTACAATTTAGGAAATTGCTTGGTGGGAGGGAGGGGATAAGTTTGTTACATATTCATGTTTTTCTTTTTTAAAAAAAATAACAACAGGTTCCAGGTTTCCCTGCAGAAATCTGATTTTTCCCAGAAAGGGGTTACTGCTAGTAAGTGAGATGTTTCCATGTGAATTTATTTAATCGGCGCAGTAAGTTGGGTACCGGTGTTCCCATTATACAGATGAGGAAACCGAGGCCTGGGCAAGATGAGATCATTGCTCAAGGCCACACAGCCAGTCAGTGGCAGAATCGCATTCAAACATAAGCCACCGGCTCCGGAGCCTGTCTGTTCCGCCCCTGAGCTAGTGTGCCGGACTGTTTGCACTTTCATGCTTAGCAAGTATGTCCTGAGAACAGACAGTGGAAGTTTCTGGCAAGCCCTGGCATTCATAAATTAGAAGAAAAAAAAAATAAAATCCTGGCCGTCACAATGAACTAAAATCATTGACAGGATGCACATAGAATGGGCACCGAATGATGGAAATAACGGAATGATGCAAATACACGTCTCCTGCATACGTGTATGAGGTTTTGTGCAAACACACCTGTGCTCGTTACCAGCTTACTGCCGCTCAGCTCCACGTGCACCCTTTTTGGCTGCTCTGTGAAAACACGGCGGGCTCCTTTAAATAGTTCCCCTCTGCCAGAACCAGCCGGATATCCGGCTTTCTCAGCAGAGGGCACTGGAGTGGTTCTCTAAGGAGAAGGAGCCTGCTTACTGGTCACAGTGTGGTTCTGTCTGTCTGCAGACCCCTGGGGCACAGGTGGCTTCCTCGGCATCGGATTCCTGCAGAGCCTGGAGGTCCCCAGGGGCCAGCCGGCCACCCCTGTGGGCTATTCCATCTCAGAGTGCATCGGGGGACCCCTGCGAGCGAACACCTTTCCCTGGCACCTGCAAAGGTATGAAATGTGCTCTGCTAACGGTTGCACTTATGATCCTACGAGTTACCTATGTTTGCAACTACCTGTGGCCTCGCGCTTCTTTTTCATCCCGTTTCTTCTTAACGATGGTAATAGGGAGGGAGAAATTTAGAAGAGAAGCTTTATTTGTACTGTGTCAGCCCGTCTGTGCATGGAAAAAACACTGTTGTTGCTTTGCTCTTATCCAGCTGACTATAAAGATGGAAAACATGTAAGTCTTGAAATCCATGCTGGCAGGTGGAGCTGAGAGAAACAGGAGCAGTGAGATGCCGGTGTGGAGATGGAGCTTAAGTGTCTGCACCTGTTCTAACCTCGGAGCCTTTTATGCACATGCATACGGTGTTTGTTTACAAACTGTAGGTAGATTTAACTTAAGGGTTTGGTGTAGCCGAAACCAGTTTGACTCAGTGGATATAGTGTCAGTCTGTGGACTGAAAGGTCCCAGGTTCGATTGTGGTCAAGGGCAGGTACGTTGGTTGCGGTCACATCCCCAGTAGGGGGTGTGCAGGAGGCAGCTGGTCAATGTTTCTCTCTCATCCACATCTCTAGCTCTTTATCCCTCTCTCTTCCTCTCTGTGGAAAATCAATAAAAAAGTTTTTTGTTTTTTTTTTTTTTTTTAAAGAGCTTGGTGTAATAAACCTTTAGCCTCCCCCACCTGCACTGAAATAAGACACAGACCTGCCCTCTCCAACAGGGATCTGGACTTTGGTTGTGTGTGTGTTTGGCAAGGTTGGAGGGAGTGGCTTCTTGCTTGTGCTATGATGAAGACATAGGCCAGTGGTCGGCAAACTATGGCTTGCGAGCCACATGCGGCTCTTTGGCCCCTTGAGTGTGGCTCTTCCACAAAAGACCACGTGCGGGCATGCACATACAGTGCGATGAAAACTTCGTGGCCTGGCTGAAACCGGTTTTATTTAATGTCTTTTAAAAAATATATTTTATTGATTTTTTTTTTTTTTACAGAGAAGAAGGGAGAGGGATAGATAGAAACTTCGATGAGAGAGAAACATCCATCAGCTGCTTCCTCCTGCACGCCCCCTACTGGGGATGTGCCCACAACCAAGATACATGCCCTTGACCAGAATCGAACCTAGCACCTTTCAGTCTGCAGTCCAAAGCTCTAACCACTGAGCAAAACCAGCTAGGGCAGTGGTCTGCAAACTCCTTAGCCCACAGAGCCAAATATCAACAGGACAACGATTGAAATTTCTTTTGAGAGCCCAATTTTTTAAACTTAAACTTCTGCTAAGGCTACTTCAACATAGACTCGCCCAGGCCGTGGTATTTTGTGGAAGAGCCACATTCAAGGGGCCAAAGAGCCGCATGTGGCTTGCGAGCCACAGTTTGCCGACCATGGGGCTAGGGCCGAGTAGGCTTTATTCAATTTGAACAGATTACTGGTGGACTGGTGGTCTCAGAGCCTGCGTTAGTGAGACGGGCCTCCATACAAGGAGGCAAACGTCACCTGCATAAAACCTTCCCATTAAAACTCGCCCGGAAATGGGAGTTAGTCTCCCAGGTGGTATTCATTTGTGATGACAAGGTTCGCCCAGACTTTCTGAATAATAAGAGATCAGAAAAGTACCTAGGCTACCCTGATCCTTCCTACAACATTCAGATTCTCATTTCTGTTAGTTGAAAGTATACCCCAAATGGTATCCTGGGGACCCACTTCCTTCCCACTGTAATGGTTGAACTCAACTTGTTAAACTTTAGGGTTTTCAGCGTCTTGGGCTCCACTATTGAGGTCAGCTGCTCGGGCGATGGTGATGTCATGATGAGATTTCCCCTCTAAACTTAGGATTTCTCCCTGGGTTTTCCTTGTGAAGTGAATCAGGGGGAGTGACAGGCCTCCAGACATCCTGCCGTCCCCTGCGCCCCCCCCCCAAAAAAAAAACGGGGTGGGGGTGGGCAGAGCCTTGGAAGGGGCTGGTGTGCCCTGGTTGTCACCTCCAGAGGAAACACAAGCAGCGTCCTTCAAGTCACGGACAGTGTCAAGGTCAACCTTAGTAAAAAAAAAAGTGCTGAGTTATAAAATACAAAGAGAGCCCGGCTGGTGTGGCCTGGTGGTGGTTGAGTGTTGGACTATGAACCAGGAGGTCTTGGTTTGATTCCCGGTCAGGGCACCTGCAGGGGGTTGCAGGATGGACCCCCAGTGTGGGGCGTGCAGGAGGCAGCCAATCCATGATTCTTTCTTGTCATTGATGGTTCTCTCTCTCTCTCTTCATCTCCCTTCCTCTCTGAAATCTATAAAAATATATTTAAAAAAGAAATTACAGGGGTTATCAATAAATAACACGCAAAGCAGGTCTGTTGAATCTGAGTAAGAATGCAGCTGATGGAAATCAGGTGGGGACTATAGGAGCCTTGCTCTGCTGGCTCCTCATCAGGCCTTGAGCCGGGCAGATACAGAGAAAGGGTTGTAAAAAAAGGCACAGAGCACGCCTCTCAATGCCTCTTGCATTCCACTCCTAATACCTCTCCCGTCTATCAGCGTCTCTCCATCTGGAGGTCT